AGAAGAGCAGTGTGATACCAAAGGAACTGACTGGAGCAGGGGCTGACTATTATGTGACACCATCAAGTGATGATATCTATCCTTATGGTGTCTGTATCAAGGAAGTATAGTCACTGGATATACTGTAACCAGTGATGACTCAATGAACCATTAATGAACTGTATTATAGTGTAACTATTATAACCAATTAGCATGTACTGTTGATGAATACCTAAGCACACTTTGATGTATATTGTATTTAAATGATGTTGACAGTTGATGTATTGACTTCAACTTTGACTTGGTCCTTTTGGTGTTACTGATTGAGTGAGGGGTGGGGCTGGAAGGCTTCTGGTATGTTGGCTCCATTTCAAAACTAATTATACTAAAGTACAGTACTGCACTGCAACACTACCTGTAAGTATGTTCATGTACCAGTAATGTACCCACTCCATACATTGAGAATAGCATAAACTATCATGTAATCATATGTACTACAGCATGTATGATGTGATGAATGTGAAGTGAACAATGCAAGCACTCTAACCACTTGGTCTACTAGCAGTACATTATACCATTCACTGGTATACTTGACAATTGTATTATAAGCCAAACATACATCAAGGAACTTCATGTCTTTAGTTACTTGTAGATCAGTAACTGATCCAGTTAGTATAATGTATACCTGGAAATATAGTGAGTCTACATATCCAGTACCAAAAAGGTCTGAGACTAAATTTAATTGTGGGGTCCTATACTGATTGCTACCAGGAAGTGTTGGGGTTGAGAAACTGTATTCATGAAACATCTTTTAGACAGCAGTCAATATAAAAGAGGTAGGTTTACAGTAATTACAGATATATTAAATATTTGAGTCAATTGCTGTTTTTGCCTGATAAAGTAGTGTTGAAGAATGCAAGCATTAATAATACCAGTAATTAGTGACAATTAAGAAATCATACCATTATCTATCATCATGTTACAAGCAGTATATGGTAATACAGTATGTACTAACACACATATGTACCTGAACACAGTTGATATTACTAATGTCAGTATATTGTATTATATAGAGATACAGCAGTAAACCTTACTTAGGAATGATAAGGAGTGGTAACACTGTGGTGGCTCCAATTAGTGAACATACATACAGTATTGTAACTGGACTGTACTACTCTACAAATACATGTACAAGTATGACTGTTGTAGACCTCTCGAATTGAACATAACAATTGACATTAGTCATTAAACAAGAAATAAAACTAATCAATCTATTATTAATATATTATACTTATACTGCTACATACATTGTATGTGAGGCTATTAAATACAATAATAATAATAGGGGGGCATAACTAGGAGGTGTGACCAAAAGGCGGAGCCCCTCTCAATATTTTACATTATTTCTAGTTATGATGGTAATGAATTATTATTAGAGAAGAGAGAATTTTTTTAAGCATTGAAATTCACATGTACATGTAGGTGTGATCAAATTGATTATTTTAAAAGGTGTGGCATTAATGACACCACCACATGGTCCTCTTGTAAGTACAGTCAATACTGTAATCAGTAGTGACTCAATGAAGTGTATTATTATTTCAGTGCAACTATTGTTAACAAGTAGCATGTACAGTACTGCATGTTGATCAATACCTAAGTACAGTTTGATGTACCGTATATTGTGGTTAGCAGACATTAGATGTGGGCTTTATCAGGAGCCCATGGCTTTATCTCTACATTACTGTTGCATGTTGTAAGGGCAGGCTGTATGGAAACCAGCCTTTAACATTAACACACAGACATACAGACTTAATAACACAACACAACCCACTGATAGGACACTAAGGACAGTGAGCCAGAGTGCTGCTTCAAAATGGGTAATGCACAGTCCACACCAGGAGATCCTGAAGATGCTTCACTGGATCTAGTAGCAGCTGCATTAACCAACATGATGCCAGGGAGTAAAGTAATCACAAAGAATGATCCACTCTACTCAACACTGAGTAATCCACAGCTGCTAACGTACAAGATATTGAGCAAGAACGTCATTGTAGAGAGCAGACCGGAGCCTGATCCAGGGATAGTGGTTGAACAGGTTTATTGTGCCATTTGCAGGAGTGCTCCATGTCGCACAGACCAGGGCAGGCCTGATACAATCATCACAGTTCAGTTCCTCAATGGTCAATCTCACAAGTTTTCAGTGGATCCCAGGGCTACAGTGTATGGACTGAAGTGGTCCATCTTTAAGAGTAAAGGGTTTGATGAGTACTCACAGTATGATGTTAATAACATTGTACTGACCTTTGGAAGGAAGGAGCTCAATGATGATGATCGTCTATTGACAAACTGTGGGATCAAAGATGGCTCAACTGTACAATGTGCAGTTAAACTAAGAGAAGGAGCTGGACCAACTATACTAGTCTTGGATGGGAAATTCTTAGATCCAGACTACAATTTTGACTTCACACACATTAATGATACTGGCACAGAACACAAACGAGGTGGTCATATCTACAAGCATCCTTGTGGCTGGAAGAGAATGGCTATCAAAGTAACAGGGCAGTATGAAGATGATGACTGGTTGGGATGCTTTGGTCTACCTGGTGAATGGCCAGTCTCTTATCATGGAACAGCAAAAGAAGGAGTAGAAGGCATCACAAAAGAAGGATATGATGAGACAAAGTTAATTCGGAATCTTCATGGAGCAGGCCATTACTCTACTCCTGATATTGGTGTTGCTGCTGGATATGCAACTTCATTTCTCTATCGAGGTAAATGGTACAAAGCTGTCATGCAGAACAGGGTTAATCTTGAAAACACTACAATAGTACCAAAGGAAGAGACAGGAGCTGGAGCTGAATATTACGTGACACCATCTTCTGACGACTTACGTGCATATGGGATATGTATAAAAGAATTTGAACTCTGTAGCATCATGTAGTGAGTACATTCATTGGTGCTTAACTTATTGTGTGACAATGTACACTCAGTTTAACTTTTATAAGCTTTATTATTAATTAATAACCTAGTTATTTTAGTTGATTATTTCTTTATATAAAAACTGAGGCGACAAAAATCAGGATGACATAAAAAATGGTTACTCTCAATTTCCCAAACTTGGTGCTGGCCAATAAAAAGCCATGATCACTTCACGTTTTAGTGTTACACAATTTATTGTTACTAGCATTTATAAATACATTATTTTCTGTCTGTCATTCAAGCGCAGTTTTAAGCATTACGTGTACATCAATAAACAACACCAGGCAAACACAATTTAATAATATTAAAATGAATCAACTACATGTATTCTTACCTCCCTGGTCTGTCTTCATCAGTGATCAGTTCAAACTCCCAAAACTTGACGTCATGATCAGCACTGCAGGTAGTGAAGCCCCGCCTACCAGGAGACACGCCCACTGACCATACGGACCCAGAATGAGCCTTGAATGTCTCCAATAGAATACCAGAAGATATCTCATACAAGTGAACATCACCAGACTACAGGTATTACAATAAAAATTTAAAATGTTTCTATATTTCCTGATACATATACATGTGCTTATGTTGCATCAAAAGTTTGAGCTGATTCTGATCAAGTTTGGATTTTTTTACAAATTTTTAAAGTTGCTCTAAAATTGGACAAAAGTCCCTGTACTATAGTACAGGGATTTTAGTCAAATTTTGGCAAAAATGAAAAGGAGAGAATTTTTGATTTTTATTACATTTCCTGATGCATATACATGTTCTTATGTTGTGTAGAGAGTTTGAGCTGATTCCGATCAAGTTTGGATTTTTTTTACAAATTTTTAAAGTCGCTCTAAAGTCGGAGAAAAGTCCCTGTACTACAGTACAGGGACTTTGGTCAAATTTTACCAAAAACAAAAAGGAGAGAATTCTCCATTTTTAATCCCATTTTCTAATACACTAACACACTATACCTTAGTTCCTGCCAGTAAGTGCCTATCCCCTGGTACCACACACAGTGACACCACATACCCACAGTCTGTCAGTGTGTGGATACAAGTAGCCATTGACTGGTCCCTCAGTCTCCATATCTTAATGACATCATTGGAACCACTGGACAACAAGGAACCATCACTACTGAGGCACAGGGACCTACAGGAGATGACACCATATTAATACTACATTACAATATACACGTACTGTATAGAAGGAAATTTTGGAGGGAGTTAAATTTGGCAAATTACTAAATTTTGGTGATTGGCGAATTAAATTTGTGGCCACGTGCCATTGAGCATGCGCATAATGGCTCAAAATGGCAGATTTTTATTTTGATGAATGGCTTTCAAAACTCCAAATTTACAGTAACTCCCTCCAAAATTTCCCACTATACGGTGCTAGTGGTAACTTTATGAAACAGTTTCTATTTTAAGTGTTCAAGGATACAAGTAGCTCAAGAATTACATTAATAATTTAAATATAAAATGCTAAAAATGATCCTAAACCAGAAGTATTACAATACAATACATTACAGTAGTTATTAACACAGTAGTTATTAATACAGTTGTTATTAATAGAATAGTTATTAATGCAGTAGTTATTAATAGAGTAGGAGTAGTGGAGTGTACCTGATGTCTGATCTGTGGCCAGGGGCAGTCAGTGAGTGATGGAGACAGGAGGAGGGAGAGGGAGAGAGAGAGAGGGAGTGTATCTGGAGCATGTTCTCATGTAGTGACAACAATAACTGACAACAAGTTCAATTATAAATAATAATAATAATAATAATAATTCACTCATACTTGATAATTATTGTCAGATACTTGAACAATATCACATGATCTAAAGGTGATAGTCACATGATGTCATTATACATGTACATGTATTAATAACGTACTTCATTCTGTGGCTACTGTTGAAGTTATACAACAAGTGGAACTGATCTTCAACTACGTATGTGGGTGTGTCTGACTCCACCCACTCCAGCCCTGCCCTAAAATATTAAAAAGTTAATAATGTCTATTCTTAATTAATTTTTGGGCAAATTTAAGCATTTCGATAGTCAACTAATCATTTTGAACTATTATGCAGAATCTTAATGGGAAATGACACAAAATTGTCAAATTAAAAGTTGCCAATCATTAAAAAATGGGGACAACTTCACCTAAAACTACCAACTACAAAGTCCACAATACTGAAGGTCCTTTACTAAATTCAGCACACAATCAGTACTCACTCTGCTGCCTTCTTCTTTGATTTCTTAATTCTCTTCCTCCTCCTTTTATCAATCTCCTCTTCATTACGTATCCCATAAACCTCTATCAAGTGATCCCCACTCTACAACAATAATAATAATCACTCACACTAATTAACACCTCCTCACCATGACAACCATTAAACTGCCCCGCCCATCAATCCTAATACCCAGTGGGCGTGTACTCAACTGCCTCTTGATAGACCCGACCAGTGACACATTGAGTGGGTGGGATGGGGCGGGGCTTAGCTCGTACACTCTCAGCTCAGAGTCTGAAGACAGTGTCACTAGTTTGGATTGAGAGGGAAGGAGGACACACCCCCAGACCTCACTGGTGCTCTCCGTTAGTGTCTCAAAGCAATGCTGAGTGTCCAAGTCCCAGAACTTAACCATCGTGTCTTTAGAACTGCAGAAATAAATAAATAAATAATAACAATGTGTATTATTTATTTGTGTCTTAATTGTTATTGTTGTTATTGTATTTATTGTGTTTATTTATTTGTTGTTTTATCCTTAAACCACTTATTTTATGATTTTAAATTAATAAATATAATAAATATAAATAAATGTACATGTACTACACATGTACCTCGTTATTAAAACATTATTATCCTTCATGAAAGAGGACCAGGTCACTGGTCCCTTGTGTCCCTTCAGTCTAATGGAGTATGAGATCAGTACTAACACATGCAGCTGTACCTGTATAGTCCACACTCGTTAATGACATCCCATATTATAACGTCAGTGTCCTATTAGTGATAATTAGTGGGTGTGGTAGTGGGTGTGGCTACTTACCTTACCACCCGAGACTAGTCTAGTACCGGAACCATCAAACGATAAAGAAATAACAGAAGAACTGTGACCACTAAAAGATGATAATAAATATTTAAAAGAAAATATTGTTTTACGATTGCCTCAAGTTATTTTAATTATTAAATACCTAAAGGTCACACTAGTGTCACGTGCTGTCTCCATGTTGAATATTTTGATGTTGCCATCATCGTAACCAATAGCAACCAGAGGGGAGGAGGGAGAGAGACAGAGAGAAGTAACTTCATGAGAATCACCTTTCAACACCTCAACCTACACACCACACCAATGACATCATGTACCAATAACAAGAAACTGTAATGAAGATATTCACATTTTGGTAAATTCTGAATAAACCATGGGCTATAGCCTTGGGTATTTTTCAGAATTCTGCAGTTTCTTAAAATGGCTGTAACTTGAAAATTTGAAGTCAGAATCAGCTCAAACTTTCTACACAGCATAAGGACATCAATATGTATCAGAAAATGTAATAAAAATTTGGGATGATTTCGGAGCCATTTTTTGGAAAAACCATGGGCTATAGCCTTGGGTATTTTTCAGAATTTCGACATTTTCTTAAAATGGTCGTAACTTCAAAAATTGAAGTCGAAATCAGCTCAAACTTTCTACACAGCATAAGGACATCAATATGTTTCAGAAAATGTAATAAAAATTTGGGGCAATTTTGGAGCCATTTTTTTTGGAAAAAACCATGGGCTATAGCCTTGGGTATTTTTCAGAATTTCGACATTTTCTTAAAATGGTCGTAACTTCAAAAATTGAAGTCGAAATCAGCTCAAACTTTCTACACAGCATAAGGACATCAATATGTATCAGAAAATGTAATAAAAATTTGGGGCAATTTCGGAGCCATTTTTTTGGAAAAACAATGGGCTATAGCCTTGAGTATTTTTCAGAATTTGGCATTTTTTAAAATGGCTTAACTTCAAAAATTGAAGTCGGAATCAGCTCAAACTTTCTACACAGCATTAGAACATCAATATGTATCAGAAAATGTAATAAAAATTTGGAATGATTTCGGAGCCATTTTTTGAAAAAAACCATGGGCTTGGGTATTTTTCAGAATTTTGGCATTTTTTTAAAATGGCCGTAACTTCAAAAATTGAAGTCAGAATCAGCTCAAACTTTCTACACAGCATAAGGACATCAATATGTATCAGAAAATGTAATAACATTCACCTTTTCTGATGTCTTCAAGTCCCAAATGATCACGTGATCCAGAGCTGGTGCTAAAGCCAATCTCCTTCCCTTCCTATTCTTGTCCAGAAGGTGACCATCAAATAACAGGGCCCCTGCCTTCCTACTGCACACTACACCAAACGCACTGGACTCCTCATAACGCAAATACTGCTTAGTAACTGGCATGATATGGAGTAGCAGTGATCAGTGATGGTTCCACGTGGTCGTTAACATTTATAACTACTAATAACTTAATTCTGAAGGTGTGGTTTAATAAACCAGCCCCTCCTCCTTTTGAGGGCATGTCATTATCAATTAGCAGTTTACAAGGTAAGAGAGTGTGTGATAATTGGTTGTATGTCAACAAAAGACCGGCCTGGCTTCAATTCATTAGAATATTAGCTCAGTCCCAGCCACAATGGCCGGGGTACAGTATTACTATCAAGAAGAACTCAGCAGTAGTCGTCTACCTGCAGTACCTCAAGCAGCAGCAAGACCATCATCTTCTAAACTAAAGACTCCTCCAGTACCTCCTCCTCCTCCTGCTGGCTCCAGACCCAGTCCTACTAGTACCACTGGGTCTGCTACTAGTGGAGGGACTAGCTGCACCTCTACTGCCACTGGTGCTGTGTTTTCAACTGATATCATTGTCACTACTCTCATTCTGTTCTTCATTCCACACCATTTCTACATTTACTATACAATAGTGAGGATATTAACTATCATAATTAATTCAATAAAATAAAATACTGAGTAATTGAAAACATTATTATTATTATTATTATTATTATTGTTGTTGTTGTTGTTGTTGTTATTACAGAAAGCACTCCTCCTGTTTCCCCTCCGCTGGTCTGTCTCCATAAAGGACTCCAGGAAGCATTACTTCATTTTTGAATTCTGTGCATACACTCACTACCTCAATCTGTTCTACCTCTGGTCTCCATGGAAACCCACCGGGATGTTCCCCTCCTTGTTCCTCTTTGCTAACGGTCCTGTCCTCTGTACAGTGTTCTTCCTGGGGAATGGGTTCATTCTTCACTCCATTGAGAACATGTGTAGTCTCTTTACTCATTCATCAGGAGCACTACTAATGTGGAGCATGAAGTGGTAAATAACAACAATATGAGATAATAAACTTAATATAGTGAAATTAGTTACTGTATATTAATGTCAGTTATGGTGTTGGCCTTTAAAGTGTTAATCTTAGCTTATAATACAATACAAATACACTAACTCCTCGTGAACTGTAATTTAATGATTTAGTAGTAACATGATTCATGTTTAAAATATTTACCCGTGACATAATGATATTAATCAGTGCTATCATTAAGTATGTTATTACCAGCTGTGAATAGAATCTGTTGCATCATTTACTTTAATAGCTTGTAAACTATTGTACTATTACATTGTGCATGGATCATTTATCAGACTATTATTAATAGGTATCCCACTACAGGAGGAGTGACTAGTAATGATGTAGAGTTAGACAGTAGCTATGAGTCATTGTTGAGGAACTGGAGAGAGATCATGATGACCAGTTCACTGTACTACCTCATCTGGGCCATCTGCTACTCACTGATTGTTAGTTATAAATAATATTATTAATATAATTATTACTGATTAGGTTCTTAAATTGCTGGAGAAGAGGATCATTCGTTACGACAGTGAGACAAGCTTTAGATGCTTGGTTCAAATACAAAGAGACGGATTAATATCAAAACTATGTCACATTCATGGAGAAAGATACTCCAAACTTTATTACATAATCTTCCATTACACAGTAACTGTAGCCTGTATGACTGGGGCCTTCCTCTCTTACTACTGGTAAGATTAAAGTAATTTTTATATAAATTTATTTATTTTATTTTACAGGAAATTGTATCACTTCATTTTACTGACTTCATTTCTACTGCTTGCTCTTTGTAATGGAGCGAAATATTACTTAAAATAATTTTATTAATTAATATTAATTTTATTGACATTAACATTATGAGCTTATTGAATGACATCAGTGAATTAAACTTCCAGTCTATGCCCACACAGCAACACTCAAGAATGTGACAATCCTACACTAACACCTTACATTGTGTTCATAAGGACAATGCTGATTGTTTAGCTGCATAATGCAATAAATTCCTAATCATCTACTGCTAGTAACGACTAACTTTATAGTTCATCCATAAAAATATTAGGAAAATGAAGAAGTCTCCATAAGTAGATCACTAACAATATTATTAGATCATGCAACTGAGAACGTAACTATATACCGGTATACGTTATTACATTATTCAATTACACACCAAAAATAAATTATTGATCATACAGGAAATTACCTCACTGTATGTGCTACTTAATTTAGCACTGCATGCCAGGTGTACTGGTCAGTACAATACACCTGGCAGTGCTGTTGATGTAAACATATTTTATTCATAAGAAGCTTAGAAGGAAACTGCTCAGCTACTGGTGAGTGACTAACAATGGCAGCTAACAAAGATAACAATAATGGTAATTAAGTTCTGAATAGATAACAAAATATGATTTATCCATCCTTTATATCATTAGGAGAGACTGATCCTGATAATCATGTATATATTAGGAACCAGTTTGAGTATGATAGGATGGAGTCAATACATGAAGATATTGTTGCTATTGAGAGATTCCATGAGATGAAGGACTCAACTGCTGACACCATCATCTATACTGTGTTTGCTTTTCAGGCATTAGTAACAGGATTTCTAGCTGGGATGATCACTGAACACTATTACATTGTACACTCAATTGTAAGTATGATAATGGATAATGAGATAGTTATTTTATTTTAATTTAGAAAGTTCTAGTCCTCCTCCCATTGAGGTGGTATGTGTTCAAACAAATTGGTAAACATTATTTCATGCTAGAGCTCTGCACATGGATACACATACTCATCATGTTCTACATATGGTCCCCATGGAAACCTCCTGGGATGTTCCCTTCACTGTTCTTCTTTGCTCATGGTCCTTTGATATGGTCAGTCTATTACTGGAGGAATGCATTTGTACCTCATTCATCAGAGAAGATGTGTACACTGTTCATTCATATAGCACCAGCAATGGTCACTTGGAGCATCAGGTGGTGAGTTTTGTAGATTGTAAAGTGTTTTCTGTGACTGACTGAAGCTATAAATCTACTCAATTGGAAGCAATTTACAGTAAAGGCCACTGTCCTGATTATATTCATTGAGTCCAAAGAATAACAGTTTATTGTATACCATTGGTTGATTGTACTAAAGCTAAGCATAGCCAAGCTTTGCCAGTTAAATAA